AGGGCAATTCCCATAAGCCTCTCTGCAAAGCCCTTTCGCTGTTGCAGAGTCTAATTTGACAGCCACAAATCCAGCATCCACCAGTGCCCAGAATTCTGTCTCTGGCCCAAGGAGGGGGCGGCTGGGCTGAGAGAGATGCCAGGGTTAGCAAGTAGAGCTTCAGACAAAATGGAGGAATGATTCTGACACTGGTCCAACTCACTTTTTATGGTATTAAAGATGAAGACTTGGGCTTTGGTGGCAGACATGCACAGAGTTGATGCTTTACTCTTTCATTTGTCAAGTTAATTGGTATATTGAAGCTTTGGATTCCTTATGGGGTAAAAGGAGGCAATGATACCTACAGCATAGCGTTCTTATGTGGACAAATAGCACAGATAAAGCTCGTAATCTTGTACCCAACAAGCAGTAAGTGTGCTGTAAATATTGACTGCCGTTATTATGCCTTATTCTATCTCTGTCCTACTTCAGAGACCACAGGATGTTCCCGCCACTCCCCGGGGCTGAAAACTTACTGTATTTCCTAAGCATTAGTCCTTTAAAAGATCTGGAATCAAATCTCAACTGAGGCCTCAGAAAAGAAACACCTCAGAGACTCAAGCTCTCAGAAAAATTCCCCTCACCACACACCCAGGTGAAACAGAAGACTTTCAACTCTGCCACAGGAAAGCCATGTCAGCACACACAAGAAGAGATCAATCAGGTGCTGCTGACTTCCTCCCCTGGAGTCATGGCAGATGATGCCTCTTAGGATGTTCATTCAGACCTTGCTCTGGGATCTGGAAGGTGATAGGGCGTCTTCTGGAAGAGCCCCATATACTACTTCCTCATCTATGTTCAGATCAGGCCACACCTTCTGCCTTTGCTGCAGCCTAAGGCTGAGCGTTAGCTGCTCTGAAGAGGATCCCAAGGGGTCTTAGGTCAGGCAAAAGCCTCTATCTTCAAGGTTAAGTTTCTCTGTGCTTGAGAATCACTAGAGGAGCTGGTTAACCCAGCTCCAGCTCTCTGAGTTGCTGCTTTTGAGTACAAACCAGCCTCAGCTCAGGACAGTGACAGCGATGTTCTGGCCTGAATCAGTTAACTTAGAGAGCTGACTGCTTGGCTTTTTTTTTTGGTCTGTCATGAGGCTTGAACTCGGGGCCTGGGTGCTGTTCCTGAGCTTTTTCACTCGAGGCTAGTGCTATATCCCTTTGAACCACAGCTCCACGTCCAGTTTTCTGATGATTGATTGGAGGTAAGAGTCTCACGGACTTTCCTACCCCAACTGGCTTTGAGCCACGATCCTCAGATTTCAGCCTGCTGAGGAGCTGATTACAGGCATGAGCCACAGTGCCTGGCTCTGAGCGCTAATGTTTATACATCCTCAGAGGTTGTTGTTACCCAAAGCTGTCATTAAGTGCTGAATTTTGTCAAGTTTTAATCAAGTTAAATGAAAAATAAAGATTACTGTTGTTGTTATTATTGCTAATATGAGGATTTTAAACTCACACTGGCTTTCCTGGTGCTCTCCCACTTGAACCAAACCTCTTCTTGCAGCTTTTTGATGAATAATTGTTAATAAGAGTTTCCCAGGTTTGTCTGTTCAGGCTGATTTTACTTTAAATCTCGATCTCCTCAGAAGTAAGGATTATAGACATGAGGTATTGAGTAATAGGGCCCATTAGAAATGAGACATATATTTAAAATAAAATAAACTATAGGTCTCTTCTCCTTTCCCCTTCCTTTCCTTCCCTCCCTTCTCTTTCCCCTCTCCTCATCTCCCTTTTTTCTTTCCCCTTCCTTCTTTCTTTCCTTCCTTCCTCTTTTTTGGGGGGAGTGGGAGTGGAATGGCTGTTGCGCACTCCTGGGATCAAATGACTTTCCTGCCTCCACCCCAAAGCTATAGACTTTCTTTTAGTCAAATGGAAGCGTGTTTGGCAGGAAGACCCCTTTGTCTTTACTCAAATGTCAGTTTTGAAGCCTAAGACCTCTGGGGAGTAAGGGTGGTCCCAGGACTCTGGTCCTGGGCAGCAGGAGGGCCCCATCCATGGGTACCTTCCTTCAAGATCCTTCCAAGTCAAAGACTTAACCAGTGCCCTGGTACAAGTGCTGGAGGGAAAGCCACCGTGCTGGACTCCTAGTGACAAGAGGTGTGACGCTGCTGGGCTTTTCAAAGGGCAATTCTGACAGCAAGGATTTTGTGCCTTCCACTGACCTTAGAATGGAAGCTCTTCAGTGCCAGCTTGTGACATGCCTCGTGGTGCTGGTCTCCCTCCCCCGCTTCCCGGGCCCTGGCCCCTGCGGTGCAGCCCAGGGCACCTGCCACATTCAGGAGCGATCGGGTCATCATTTGGCTGCGGGTGGCCTGCATGGAGCTTGGTTGATACAAAAGTCATCACTGGAAAAACGCTCACAGCCTTACTTAAAAGCCTTCAAAGTCACATTCTAAACCCAAACAATTTGGTATTAGATATGGTTTTCTCCAGGTTCTCTTGCTTGTCTTTCCATATTTCACATGCTGAAACAGTTTCCAACTGCTACAGTTTGCATCTAGAATATTTCCCCCAAAGGCCCGGGGAGTTAAAGGCTTGGTCTGGAGCCGGTGGTATTACTGGGAGGTGGAACCTTTAAGAGGCATGACCCTCACAGTCTGCACAAACCTGATCTCTTCCCGTTTCTTTTGGGCTTCCAGACCTGGAGGGGGGGAGGGGGGTTGCCATGCTCTCCTGCCTGATGTGTGGCCCAGTCACAAGCCTCAAAGCAAAGGCCCATTGACCAGAACTGTGAGCCAAAATAAGCCTCATTTTTTTTTTCCTTTTCTTTAAGTATTGGGCTTTCGACTCGGGGCTTCATAGTTATTCTACCATGTTGGTCACACCTCCAGCCCTTTTTGTTCTGGTGATTTTTGAGACAGAGCTTCACTTTTTGCCTATACCAGCTAAGACTGTGATTCTACCTGTTTACTCTTCTTGCCATAGCTAGGGGCGATACATGCCTCCATATCCAGCCGTTCCCATTGAGCTGGGGACTCTTTTCTGCCTGACCTGGCCTGGAGCCATAATCCTCTGATGTCACCTCCCCTGTAGCTAGGATGATGGGTCTGTACCACTGAGCCTAGCTGCTGACTGAAAGAATGTCTTGTGAACTTCTTCCTGACTTCCCTTAGCTACAGTTCTCTCAACTTCAGCCTCCAGAATGCTTTAGATTAACAGGTATAAGCCCCAAAGCTAGCAGCCTTCCCTCTTTTTAAGTTGATTATTTCAAGTATTTTGTTACAGTAAGAGGACGAACAGAGCCGCTCACCAGTTCTAAAGTCTGGCCTCTTCTTTCAAGACACCTTGACTGCTTTCCTTGCATCACCTCTATCAGGATATTGTGAGAAGCTGTAGCATGTTCACTGACAGCAATCAGACTGGAGGGATGAAGCAGAGGGAAATTCCTTTTTCTGCATTAGCCAGGGACTCATAGGAAGGGCAGAATAGTTGGCTGAGGAGAACTGACAGGCTGATAGAAGCAGGAGTTGTAGCAAACCTGTCAATGGCTGCAAAACTAAACAGTCTGGTTGTGATCACACAAGCTTAGTGTTGAGCATAACAGCATAAAAACACAGATAAAGGCCATCATGTCTCTTCAATACTTATCTGTCTCTTAGAATGTAGATGCAATCAATGGCTTCGGGAACAATCCAATTTGATTTACTCTTTTGGGTAGCTTTACTTTCCAACAATGGCTGCAAAACAAATACGCTCAATTCCACAAGTTCTTCCAGAACCTTGCTAGTCTCCCACCAAGAGAGGGGGGCTCGTTGGGTGTATGGTGTAATCCCAGCCACTTCAGAGGTGGGAAAGAGGAGGATTGTGGCATAAGGCCAGCCTAGGGAGTGGAGAACCCAACTTCAACAAACAAGCTGTGTATGGTGATACGGAATGGTGGGTGCCAGGTACATGAGAGGCAAAGGTAGGATTACAGTCCAAAGCCAGCACTGGACAAAAAGCTCAAGACCCTCTCTGAAAAATAACAAAAGCACAAAAGGGATGGAGTAATGGCTTTAGTGGTAGAGCAGCTGCCTAGAAATCCTGAGGCACTTAATCTCAAACTCTGGCAACACACACATACACACACACACACACACACACACACACACACACACACACCCAGGAACAAAAAGAAGGGAAACAATAAATTGGGAGGCTGCTACCCAGGTCTAATGCCCACCCCAGCAGAACTTTTCCCCATGACAATCCAGGCAGATTATCATTACCTTGGCTTAAACATTTCTAGGACGGGAAGCTCACTACCTCACAAAAGTAGCTTATCCCATTATGTTTCCAAAAAAAAAAAAAGGTCCACTGTGATATTGATGATGTTCTAGCCATTAATTTTAATGACTGCTCTCTAGATCTTCCACCATCCTAACTTGAAAGAAAGCTTGAGCCTCACATTGCCCTATCTACTGGTGAGAAGACCTAAACTCCTTGTGGATCACATAGCTTTATGTACAATGATGGTCTTCATTCACTACACAGGGAATGCCAATATATTCTAAAGGATTCTAAAAATGGGTAAAAATTTAGAATTGATGGCTGAGAGTGTAGGTCAATAGTTGAGTGCTTGCCTAGCATGCAGGAGGTCCTAGCTTTGACCCTCAGCACTGTAAAAGAATTGAATCTGGTGGCAACCTTGTTCCTGATGGTGACCCATCAGACCCTGTCCCCTTGGTGGGGAGTCCTGTGAACATGGATTGGGCCCTGCCAGAGGTAGAGCAACCTTGAGAATTTGGAGCATTCTGGCGTTTTGTCCTGGCCCACTGAGGTCAGGCTCATCAGCTGGATATGGTTGTTACTTGCATTCCAAACTGGAATCTGTAGTATTGATGTCCCTGCAGCTGAAATGACAGTGAACACAAACCACTGCCCTGAACACAAACACTTCCCCAACGCATCACTCTTTAGTTCAGTCCTTGATGAGATTCAGAAAAAAAACAGTAGAGTGAAATATGGCAATTCCTAGGAAGGATGCTCCCTTCCTCAGTGCGGCTGGGCGTCCACGTCCATCCTTTCCATTTTAATTAACGCAGTGAACCAGCCTCTACCTTTCAAAGGAATCCGAGGGAAACCTTGCTGCCAAATCCCAACCGCTCCTGTGACACTCAAGAACCTGGGCCAGGCTCTTGTGTAGGTTGAGGAAGTCTGTGAAGAATACAGATTATAGGAAAACAGTCTACCTTTCTTTACAGAGTCTCCTTTTGCATCCCTGAAATCTCAGATTCAGCTATTACAATGAAGTCCTGTTGTAGAGAGAGCTGGCCTCTTTATCACCACTTAAAATCTAATTAATCCATATTGAAGCACAAAGATTTCTGTTGTCCTTTAGGGTGAGGGGTCATAGAGCTTTCTTTGTTCATCCTTCGACTTAAAGTCATCAAGCATTGGGGATATTTTACCAAGCAAATTGGAAGGCAACATCAAATCCTTATCAGAAAGCCCCAACTCATAGTTTTAAGAGTCCTTCGTCCTTTACATGAAACATTATATTCAAGAGGAACAAGAACACATTTCAGAGTACCCAAAGAGTTAATGCCCAAAGTTATTATATTCCAGGCAGCATAGAACCAAGTTGGGCACACCACTGTTCACTACGAAGGACAGCAGACCCTATAGAGTGGCAAAGTTGGATGATTTGCTGCGATGGCTTTAGTCTTTAGAACAGCATTGCAATCGGTTGGGCTCTCACTATCTCTGCTGGGATGGGTTTTATCTATTATTACAACTTATCTGCCACATTGGAAGAACTTGAACCTGGACCTGAACGAGATGGAAAACTGGACCATGGGGCTCTGGAAAACCTGCGTCATCCAGGAGGAAGTGGGCAAGCAGTGTAAGGACTTTGACTCCTTCCTGGCTTTGCCAGCTGAACTCAGGGTCTCCCGGGTTTTAATGTTTCTGTCCAATGGGCTGGGGCTTCTGGGCCTGCTGCTCTCAGGGTTTGGCCTGGACTGCCTGAGGATTGGAGAGAGACAGCAGGACTTCAAGAAGCGACTGCTCATCCTGGGAGGGATCCTGTTGTGGACCTCAGGAGTCACGGCTCTGGTTCCGGTTTCCTGGGTGGCTCACATGACGGTCCTGGAGTTCTGGGATGAAAGCATCCCCGAGATTGTCCCCAGGTGGGAGTTTGGGGAAGCCCTGTTCATTGGCTGGTTTGCTGGATTTGCTCTTGTGCTAGGAGGGAGTGTGCTTCAGTGTGCAGCCTGCTCAGCCCCAGCTCCTCTACCTTCGGCCCACTATGCAATGCCAGAAATGCAAGATCACTGTCCACACCTGGAAAATGGAACTGCAGATCGTAAAGTGTAAGACCATGAAAAGACAGGATCGTTTCTACATGACTATGGATGGCGGTGGTCTTGTTGCTACAACTAAATCCTTGCTGCTACATTCCTTTTCATTAATTATGCTTCTGTATTAGACTTTTCTTCCCCAATCAAGAGAATAAAGGAAATCTTATATCTAAAAGAGAACTTATTATGGGAACATTACATGGATATGAATGGAAATGTCATTTATCTGGTTATTTCAATCAATATGTGGTGGTGGTTCCCCAATAGAGTCAATCTTGAGTTTCAATCTATTAATTTTATACTGGAAAGTTGTGTTGTAATAGCTGGAAATGGTGATTAGTTTGCTCCCCATCAAGATATCCAATCTTTCCCAGGTTTTACATGAATAAAAACTGCATGCTAAGCCAATTCCAACAAGTCATTTCTACAATGAGTTTATGTCTTCTTTGATCAGAAGTGGGCACCCTGTTTAATTTTATCAGGATCTTGTGAGGCTGAGGATTTGTCTACTGTGGTCGTCTTTGATGTTAAACCATAGGCAATCTCCTTACTCACCTCTTTCTTCAAAAGCTTACCATTAAAATAAACAATGCCAAAGATATTTTTTCCTAGGTATCTACGTAGTGTCAGTTCATTTACTAGAATATCCACTTTCTTTTAATTAAAAACAAACAATAAGCAGAATGGATAAGCTGATGCTGATTTTACATACAAAGTCCTATTGCTTAACTTCTCACAGCACAGAAAGCATATTTTTGTAAAAGAAGGGGGGGCAAAGTGTTTGTGTACAGTGAGTGAACTTAACACAAAGGCATGCAGATAAACAGACTTGATATTTAGTTCGGCATTGTTTCATATGCTTTGTGGTATATGTAGCCAGAAACAGCTCTGCTTTAAGGTCTAGAGAGATTTCTGATAAGATTGATTTATTTAGTTAAGAAATACTTCTCTTGAACCCATTTTTTTTTAAAAATGGTTAACACCCAGTATTATCATAACATACTCGTTGAAACGTGAGAATTATAACAAGATGAAAATCTGACAGGTGTAATTAGTAAGATATAAAGTAGAAGGAGTTGAACCAAAACCTTCAATTAAAGTTTTGCATGTAGACTTAATTGACTTGTTAGAATCGTTGGGGAACAACATGAAAGCCATTTATACCTTAACAATGAAAGGAGGATTAGTACTACTTAACTTTAATTCACCGACAAAATGCCTTCTACCAAATTCAGCCCACAGGATACAAACATGGTGTTGGCCACGCCTTGGCATTACTGGTTTGCAGCATTTATTTCCCTATCCTTTGCTGAAACCTTTTCAACATGGAATCAAACAATAGCAACTCTGGCAAGAATCCTCCTATATACACAATGAAAAAGCATTTCTGAGCTCCTCAAGTGATAACTCAAGTGTCACACTTCTTTTCACAGCAACTGAAGGGTAGAAGTCGGGTTGGCTGGAGCTCACAGAACTTTACAATGGCTTTAGTCTTCAGAACAGCATTGCAATCGGTTGGGCTCTCACTATCTCTGCTGGGATGGGTTTTATCCTGTCTTACAAACTATCTGCCACATTGGAAGAACTTGAACCTGGACCTGAACGAGATGGAAAACTGGACCATGGGGCTCTGGAAAACCTGCGTCATCCAGGAGGAAGTGGGCGAGCAGTGTAAGGACTTGGACTCCTTCCTGGCTTTGCCAGCTGAACTCAGGGTCTCCCGGGTTTTAATGTTTCTGTCCAATGGGCTGGGGCTTCTGGGCCTGCTGCTCTCAGGGTTTGGCCTGGACTGCCTGAGGATTGGAGAGAGACAGCAGGACTTCAAGAAGCGACTGCTCATCCTGGGAGGAATCCTGTTGTGGACCTCAGGAGTCACGGCTCTGGTTCCGGTTTCCTGGGTGGCTCACATGACAGTCCTGGAGTTCTGGGATGAAAGCATCCCCGAGATTGTCCCCAGGTGGGAGTTTGGGGAAGCCCTGTTCATTGGCTGGTTTGCTGGATTTGCTCTAGTGCTAGGAGGGAGTGTGCTTCAGTGTGCAGCCTGCTCAGCCCCAGCTCCTCTACCTTCGGCCCACTATGCAGTGCCAGAAATGCAAGATCATTGTCAACAGCTGGAGCTGAAACACATGAGCCTGGAAACCTCAGCCTGAGGAATCAGAGCATCTCCTTCCAGCAGGTGCCTGCTCAGCGCTGGATTTGGTAGGACCTCCACGGCAAGGTCACCCATTCATGATTGCTTTTGATTTCCTTAAACGCACCCCTCCCCACTCTTCCCCCTATGGCTATTTTGTTCTTAAAATACAATTCCTTTCTAATTTTGGCAACCCCTTTTTATTTATTTTCTATTTGGTAATTCAAACCAATCAAGACAATAATAATTACACCCATTCCTGAACATGCATTTTCTCAGTTTTAAAACAGGCTCACTGATAGCGCAAATCCAGGAAACACTGTATTATATTTCTGTATCTTTCAAGGTATTACTCAAATGCAGATGAATTGTTTTAGCAATTTGAAATGTTACTGCAGAGCTTTGCTTTTTTCAGGTATTTTAGAAAAACCCATTCTAGTGAAATTTAAGGTCTCGGGATATTTATTTAAAAAGCACAACTTGATTATGCTAAACAACAAAAAAAAAATTCTGCTGGCTCTCTAAAGGAGTCTCTTTGAAACCAGCCATGTTCTTAGGTGCCCTCAAGCAGAGGAGGGCAAGCTTCTAGTCAGGCAGATGGATAGAGACACTGGCACACAAATGTGTCTGGGATACTGTGTCCTGGCCAGCCTTCCAGTCGGCTTTGAGCAGCCACTGGGGTAGAAAGAGGTCTGGACAGGTGTGTATGGGCAGATGGCCTCCTGGCCAGACACCTCCACCTGGAGCACACTGCCAGCCTAGTGACAGCATGACATAGACCACTGGATCCCTCCGTTTCCCTTTCACCTCTTTTATATTCCAGACAAGAACTGTAACATACTTTTGTTGTAGATAATTCACTGTGGAACAGTTTATAGTTGTGTGGTATATAGTGGAAATAAATGTGTTTACAGCAATCACGTATATTAGCTAAATAATAAGCAACACTGAAATAAAGTATTGGGCAATATGTATCTTTGTTTAAAAAAAAAAAAAACCTGAAAAATTTCGATCTACAAACACACGGAAAGTGCAGAAACTGGTTAATCTACGTGATGTTTTTGCATACTTTGACAAAGAAGACAATTAAAACAGAAACATACAGAATTTAACCTGATTAAATATTTAGTTCAGTCCTGAGCTTTTGAAATTTAATACAGTATAGATAAACCCATAGTAAAAAAAATTTAAATTTATTTTTTGATTTGTATGCTACAGAGATTCAACTAAACTTTGCTCATTTGGCTAGTAATATTCGTTGTTTTGTACCTGTAACACTTAAGATTCCGATATACAAAAATTCTAATAACAAACTGATAATTCAAACTTGAGAACTAAACATTAAATTCTTTTTACCCTGTGCGGAATAAATTCTACTTTTTAAAAATAGTATTCATAATATTAAAATTCATATTTTTCCTTATGGATTTGTGTTGAAGTTAGTAATATGTTTTGTTCACTGTGAATCATTTGGGTTAGTACAAATATGACAGGATTATTAAAAGCTGCCTATAAACACATTATACTATTGCTGATTTTCAGTGTGGGAAAAGAATTACACTAAAATAGGTTTGCTTCTCATGTGAACTGAGCAAGTTTTGTAAAATAAAACCAAAAGCCTCTTGGTCACCACTGTTAACTACCAGCCTGAAACAGATTTTTATTCTTTAATACTTGTCTGAAACTTTTTGTATTCCAAAAAGTTAACAGTTAATCTGATGACGACTTATAAAGCTGTAAATACTCCAATATAGCCTCTTCTATGTCCAACATTTAAAATGGCCAGAACCAAACTATATATTAAACAGAACATAAATAAGACCGTAAATAAATAAATGAAGAAAATAAAATCGTACGGTACAACTACACATAATTCTATAAACATTTCCATGGCAAACTAAGAAGCTGAAAACAGCTGACCTTCATTCACTTCACTCCACATTAAATAAACTTGTTCACAGGAGCCTCCTCTGCAGGATGAATGGTGCTTTGCAAGTTACCTCTGCCATCTCATAGAAGCCGCAGCCTTGGAAGACTGTGCGTGGTCAGTTACCAGGCTGCTTTGGGTTCAAAGTAGTGTCATATCTATTTATACCTTTAGAACAAAAATTGTATATAAGTTGTGGATCATGTAGAAAAGAGAATTAAGGTTTTAGGCTCAGTAACTGCTTAATATGAACGTTTGATTCCGCTATCATAAATAAAAATTCTTGCTCGTGAGAGTTTGAGCAGAGAAAGAACTTTTTCAAGGGTTCCTTCCCTTGAAGATGATTTGCATTTCTAAAAAAGACATGATTAAGTCTGCTATATAGGATGGCTACTAACAACAAAAACATGGTTTCTTTCAGTAAAAAGAGTGGAGGGTATGCTTTAAATGACTGCCAACTATGTTTTCAAGCCTGTGCACCAGCAAGGCTATGTAGTAAGAATTCTCCCCAGAGTGCCTAGATTGAGTTAGATAAACTTTAGCCTGGAGATCAGGCTGTTTTAGTCAGTCAGTTTATGTTGCTAAATTTGTTCACCTACAATAAACTCTGTGTGTGTGTGTGTGTGAGTGTGCATGCAGTGTACTGCCCACTTAGTACCCTGGCTTGAACTTAGGGCCTGGACCCTTAGCTTTTTCTGCTGGTGCCTTGCCACTTGAGCCACAACTCCACTTCTAGCTTTTTGGTGGGTAATCAGAGATAAGCGTTTCATGGACCTCCCTATGTAGGCTGGCTTCAAACTGTGATCCTCAGATTTTAGCCTCCTGAGTAGTCAGGATTATATGTGTGAGCCACTGTGTCAAGGCTAGATAATTTTAAACAAATGATTTAACCTACACTCCCAATTAGTAATTCTCACAGGTACATTCTTTCCTTTTCCCCCAACAACTTGCCTTCCATGATAGAGAGAATTCCCTAAACACGAGAGCTGCAAAGTGATTCCGAATACATGTCAGAAAGTTTGATAAGTCGTGTTTTTTATGTTTGGCAACTTTGATCCAATCCAGACATACTTCTTCTTCTATTCTTGGCTTCCTCCAGTAACTGTGGGAGCCCCCAGCGCACCCCCAACTCTGTCCACTGTGTACTTGTCCTCAGCCCCACTCACCCGAGGACAGAGCTGCGGTGCCAGCCGGAGACTCCCAGGGGAACACTGCAAACTCGCATGTGGGCTGGGCTGTGGGCGGTAGCTGTTCACTGGACGGGTTTGGGCCCCACGTGCTCTCCTGTCTGCCTCCCTCCCAGTGTCATAATCCACAAGACCTCTGGTGTAGACAGGGACACAGGAAACAAAGTTTCCTTTTCTTCTGCACTCAGTATTTCATATTTTTGGGTTTTTTTTTTTTGGGGGGGGGGACAATGATACAAAGACAAAAATGAAAGCAAGTGTTGTAACAGGGGGATGGCTGTAAACGGGGGCCTCTCTTGGGTGGACTGGGGACCCTGGCTGGTGCTCTAGTGCACCCCAGTGGGCCATCACACACTGCTGCTGGCGGCTTGTCTACTCCTAGCAGTGGAGGAGGAGGAGGAGGAGAAGCTCTGGCGGGCCGGTGTCTCTGCGGCCCGCTCGGTGCACGATGCGGCTGCGCTCGCACGCACGGCCCCGCCACACTCATTCTCTACAACATCTGCACCAGATCCTCCCACTTTTGTTAGCTGATTTTTTTTTCCTCCTTAAACATGTAAGAGTTACATTCAAAGTACTTTACAAATTAACATGTTGAAAATCTGGTGTGAAACGCAAGCTCTTCAAGAGTTGACAGTTACGTTACAAAAAAAGGAAAAGAAGAGATCTCAAACAAAATCAAATGCGGCGTTCCGTGTGTCTGCCCTCCTGAGGACAGGGAGCGGGCGAGAAGCCACGCGGGGGCACGCATCCTCACACGTCGTCGGCTGGCAGGGACGGGATGCTGATCTTCGCCCGGGTGAAGTAGGCGATCTTCTCCCTGCAACGAGGGGGGGGGGGGGGGGGGAATCACTTTAATTTGATGCTAAAAATCTGCACCATTGAGACCCAGAACTCCCAGCACCGCCTCTGCTCGCAGGGGTGGGAGGTCCGTCCCCTGTGTCCAGGAAACCCCATGGGCAAGGAAGAGCCTTTGCCCTTTAATGGGGAGGGTGGGAGAGGAGGAGGAGGAAGAGTGCTCTGGCTCTGGTCAGGTACTACACGGAGTCCTACATGGCAACTTCCCCACCCCTCCACTGGAAGTTTCCATGATGCCAGGGGAATTCTCTCAAGCCAATCCAAGCTAAGGAGGGATAGGTGGGTGAGGATGCTGTCGCTCACAGGCAGGGAGAAGAGGCCCTTGACTACCTTAAAGGAACAGGCACCCTGTCTTCCACAGCAGGGTAAGAAGGAACCCCGAGAAGGAGCAGCTGAGAGGGGCCGGGAGGAGCGTGTGTGAGACAGCACTCAGCGCGAACGTCGGGCCATGCCGTCGCCGCCCTCCTATCAAGCCGCTCATCACTGTGAGCCCCTTCGGCATGTGTGTCCGGTGGGCCCTGCCAGCTGCCACCAAGACCAGAGCCCTGTCCCCACAAGGCTTTCCTTCGGGGAGACGGAAGACCCGAGGTAGCCATTCTGAAGACTACAGCGGAGAAGAAAAGGAGGAGTAAAAATTCAGGACACTGCATGAGAGCTAATGGTTGTTCGGTGTCCTTTAGATGAGTTCAGTTCCAAAATATAAAGATAAGTCAGAATTGCAAAAGACGAGAGAGTGGCAGATGCTGGCCGGGCTAGCGCCGCCGTGAGCTGAGACTCCTGAGCGAGCAGGCAGTGCGGACATCTGACAGAGTTCTCTTAAGTTCTCGTGGGGAAGGGAGGAGGGGAGAGAACCCACCCCACGCCAGCCCGAGCCAAGCATCAGGCATCATGGGTGCCACCGCCCTCCCGTGACAGTGAGTCTCGTGCCACACCTCCTGCCTGCCCTATCAGTGGGCTGCTCTCCCGGGGCAAGGAGGAACATTTGTTCATGTGTCCTTTGTTTTGGGACAACTGAGACACGTAAGATTTTCCACACTTAAACAATGTAGCTTGTTCCGGAAGTGACCGCACTGCTAAAGCATGGAGGGATTCCAGCCTCCTCCCGCCCCTTCAAGAAAGTTCTGAAAACCTGAATTTGCTCAAACCTCGGAAGTTATGGAAGTGGTGCCAGGGCAGAATGGGGGCGGGGAAGGCCAACTCTGTCACACAGTGTCACAGAACACTGGCTCAGTTTCTCTTCCTTCCCTCTACTTCTGCACGCAAGGTGCTGCAATGTAGCTTTGACCCTGATGTCTTCCTGCCAGGCAGCGCCTGCTGCCCCTCCTACCTCCTGTCTCCAGCATGTGAATCCACGCAGCCCACTTTCCTCCACTGCAAAACCTTCTCCTTGTCTTGGGTTTCGTTTACACAGGCCTAAGGACTCCTCTATTCAAAACTCTATGTCTAGGGGCTGGGAAGGTGGCTGAGTGGTAGAGCGCTTGCCTTGCATGCCTGAGGCCCTGGGTTCCATTCCTCAGCACCACATAAGAAAAAAGGCGGAAGTGGCGCTGTGGCTCAAGTGGTAGAGCTCTAGCCTTGAGCTGAAGAGCTGAGGGACAGTGCCCAGGCCCAGAGTTCAAGCCCCACAATCAGACAAAAAAAAAACAAAAACAAAAATCTATGTCTAAAAGAAAAAAATGCACCACTAAAACAAACCTTTTTATTTCTCTTTTTTGGGATGTGTGTGTATGGAGATGTTGAACTCAGGGCCTTAGGTTCAAGCATTCTACCCCTTGAGCTGTGTCTCTAGACCTTCTTGCTTTTTAAGTTATTTTTCAGATAGGAGCTTGCCTTCCCTGCTTCCCGTGCAACCAGGCTGGCTTTAGACTGTGATCCTTCTACCTATGCCTGGGATTACAGACATAACATAAAGTACCGGCTTGTCTGCTGACTAGGAGATCTCACTAACTTTGCCTTGAACTGGCTGTCTCCTCTCAATCTGTCTCCCAGGTGGCTGGGGTTATAGGTGTTAGTCACGGTGCCTGGCCCTAAACAATCCTTTTTCTGATTCGCTTTTTGGCCTCCTCCTTGCTAGGTTCTCTCCCTTCTTTTATCTTTTCTGCTATACGCTCTTCAATTACTGGTGGCCTGCAGCTCTCTGTTGGTCACCTTTCTTACTTCCTGGGACGTCTGGCCCATTTCCAACCAAGGGAACCACCACTCTGGGGCTGACAACTTCCTTGCCTGTCTCTCTGGGCTTGACTTTTCACCTTGGCTTTCAATGTCAATTTCTGCGGAGTGCTGGTTGCAGTTACCTGACTATCCTCCTGGCATGGGTGCCCAGAGGTGGGCAAGGCAGGACTCAAGTGTATCCAGTACAAACCTGCTCTCTCTGAATGCCCAGTCTTGACTACTGGGTCCTCAAGGTGGCGTCCTCCACTTCATAAATGGCCTCTCTTCCCAGTCTCTCTGTATTCTTGGATATCTGCTTCTCCCCAAAGCTATCCCATCACTGGCCATGTGCTTAGAAAGCCAGTGGGCTTCCTCACCATTTGACACCATCACTGAGACTGTGTAGCACAGCACCTAAGGCCGTGGGGCGGAGTCAAGCGCTCTGACTGACAGGCTCCTCTGCTCTAAGCTCCACCCACACACAAGGCTTAGGCTCTGGCCTCCCTACTCTCGCGGCTGTGCCACGCTGGCCTTTCTCTTCTGATGCCCTATTCAAACCCACCAGCCTCGGAGCCTGTAAATCTCCTTCCCATCCTTCTATGATGGGACCAAATGTTTCTTCCAGTCACTCTGTCTTGATCCTGCAGCCCCCGCCCCACACAGACTTAGATCTTCCTGTGTGCTCTCAGGACCCACGAACGCCTTGTGGCTCTGTGTACAGCAGGGCACCAGTCTGTTTGGCTATCTGTGACCCTCTCACTGGCGCCTTCTAGAGGAGCAGGAACACATGGGCCTCAACAGCCGGACCTAACATAGCTTAGCACTGTGTGTGTGTGTGTGTGTGTGTGGGGGGGGGGGTGATGAAGATGAACTGGGAATGTTTGGAAAGGGAGCGTCTCAAACTCCAAAGAACTGTGACTTCTCTGAACCTTTGTCCCGGGCACTAAGAACAGGGGACTTCAGGCTGTCACCTCACAGACGTGTTTGCTCACACAGAGGCAGAGGCTTCCACTGCTTCCCCAGGGGGCTTCCTACCACCGTCAGAGCAAGGGAGCCAGCCAAAAGCCATGCTGGGCCAGGTACCTGAAGGACTGCACCTGCCGAGGCACCTTCCGGCTCTGCTCCCGGAGCCGACACACGTCCTTGGAGACCTGCCGCATCAACTTCTCTGCATTCAAGTCTTGCTTCTGCTCTTCTTTTGACTGTTCAGCCTGGACAAGGAAACCAAAATGTGAGAAATCCACACAGAACACTGATTAGAGATCCCTGAAGACATGCCACAGGCTTGAAAGACTGTATTTTACTGCACTTAGAAAACCTAAGAACCCTCACACACTAAAGCCTACTAGCACTGTTCCCAAGAAGTATCTACCATTAACATTTCAGCAAATAACACTTTCAATCTCTTATTCACCTTTTCAACCCTCTGCTTTATTAGTCTTTTAAAAACTGTCTTACTGAAGTTGAATTTACCTACCAAATGATTGCACATATAACTACAGAGCTCAAAGACCCTTTCAAACCGAACATGCCATGTAAAGATAAAGGAACAGAAGACACAGCCTAGTTCCCCAGAAGCCTGCCCCGCTGTGCTCAGGACTTTACCTCAGTTTCTTATCTGTTACTGCTAATGGACATTTGTATATTCTGCACAAACATACTTTTAAAAGAAAATGCATGAATACTATTGTATCAAAAGTTGTCTTTTCATTTTATTCTTTCACATATTTATTCAACCATTAAATCAATAAATATTTATTATCTTCTACCAAAATATGACCAAGTTAAAGAGTTAAAATGTTTGCTGGGTCTATATGGTTTGGATTCAAATTCCATTCCTATCACTTTCTAGCTGTAAATTTGGGCAAGTTGCTTTGATCTCCTTGTGGCTTAGTTATTTCATTTCTAAACTGGGAAGAGGTACTCCAAAGGGTTGTTCCGAGGCTTAAGTGAATAATACATGTAACATCAACACATTATTAAATCTAGTTTAGTTATTACTGTTATTATTAGGTAAGGGTTAGACAAATGAAGTCTAGAGGAGAAGAAAAACAATACAGAAGATTTGAAATTGTATAATAATCATGAAATAAGCTAGGTGCTGGTGGCTCACACCTGTAATCCTAGCTACTTAGGAGGCTGAGATCTGAGGATCATAGATCAAAGCTGGTCTGACCAGGTAAGTGAAATTCTTATCTCCAATAAACTACTCAGAAAAGCCTAAAAGTGGTGCTGTGGCTCAAGTGGTAGAACGCTAGCTTTGAGTACAGCCAGGCTCAGGGGCAAAGCCCAGGCCCTGAGTTCAAGCCCCAGGACTGGCAAAAAAAAAAAATCATGAAAATAATACATTGCTAATATTTTCTCAGGCAACGAATCTTGAGAGCCAAGGGTGACCGCTAATGTGGGTGAAAGGCTGGTTGACTTAGCTCCCAGTGGGCACTTCCAGTATGGGCCAGCCTCTCTCTCCTCTGGCTGGTGTGGTACAAGGATTAAATCTGAAATGTGGTACTGCTGAGTGGAGGCCACTAATCACAATGGCGGCAGCTAAAGCTCTAGATGAAATGTGGGGCAAATTTAGGACATTGGTGCCTGTTTGCTGCTTTTGCAGCTGAGAGCAAAGTCTTACAAAAGTCATCAGCTGAGGCCAGAACACACAGATGACAGAAAGAGGAGTTCTGCTAAAGATGGATGCCTACAGTCTGCAATCCGAATTGACGGACACTATCATAATTGGGCTCCTTCAGGACCTGAAAAGCTAACAGCTTCTGTCACTTAAGCAGTGACAATCTTTAGAAGGAGATAAGACTGGTGCTGGCAAAAGGGAATTAAAGACTGGTCTTTCCATAATCACCTACTGTCTCAGATACTTTCAAGGCCAGAAAACCGAGAAACAAGGGCTTCAGGATTAACAGACATGACAAAGCCAAGATCTCTGATTGTGGTTCAGTAAAATCCATGCTACCAGCACTTCCTTCATGAGGAGTTCATGCTTTGCGAATAGTACTGTAATCAGAAAGGTGTAAACATTACATTCTCTTCCATACATAGACCATTTTTTCAATTACATTGACTAATATGAAAAACTGTCCACTCTTACCAGAATTAAATGAGGGGGTAAAAAAAGCAAATAAGGGATGTGTCTTTTATTTTTGTGTAACTTTTCCAAGGAATACAAACATATAGATATATACAAAGAATACAGAAGAACTAAAATGCAAGGCATGGTGACAGAGTCAGAAGGCTAGTAGCCTGGGTTACACTGTGACAGGTGAGATCCTGTACAGTGAGAGAGAGAGACAGAGGGGGGGGGAGGGAGGGAGGGAGGGAGAAAGAGAAGAGAGGGAAACAGGAAGTGTTAAAAGGCTATATACTGAGAATAGGATTACCAAAGGAATTTTATCTATCTATCTATCTATCTATCTATCTATCTATCTATCTATCTATCTATCTATCTATCTGTCAGTCATGGGGCTTGAACTCTGGGCTTGGGCGCTGTCCCTTAGCTCTTCACCTCAAGGTGAGCGCTCTACCACTTGAGCCACAGCGCCACTTCTGGCTTTTTCTGCTTATGTGGTGCTGAGGAATCGAACCCAGGGCCTCAAGCATGCAAGGCAAGCACTCTACCACTGAGCCACCTTCCCAGCCCTGAATTTAATATTTTTTGCTTTACAAAGTTCTGCATCATTTTGCACCATAAGCAGGTGCTACTTTAACTTAATTTTTTTTAAATTTTAAAACAGTCTCAAAGTGGCTGGATCACAGGTGCTTCAATCCTGTCATCCTAGCTATATAGGAGGCTGAGCTAAAGTCAGGAAGATGGCAGACTAAGGCCAGCTCGGGCAAAAAGTTGCTTCCTCATGTTTGGCCTTGGCCTGTGGGAGGCTCAGAGCAAGAAGACAGCTGGGTGTGGTGACGCACCCTTTCATCACCACTGTAGAAGGAAGTGTAGAATAGGAGGACTGTGGTCCAGGGAAGCCCCGACAGGGAGCAGGGTCCTGAGTTCAAACTCCAGCAGCACAAACATAGATAGATAAATAAATAAATAAAAGTCCACTAAATTACCTTAAATCTAAAAATAGAAATAGTGATTGCCAGGCACTGGTGGCTCACACTTATAATCTTAGCTACTCAGGAGGCTGAGATGTGAGGATTGTGGTTTGAAGCCAGCCCGGGTAAAAGTCTGTGAGACTCTCATCCCCAACTATGCAAAAAAAAAAAGGAAAAGAAAAAGCAAAAAGTCAGAAGTGAAGCTGTGGCTCCAGTGGTAGAGGGCTAGTGTTGCGCACAAAAGGACAGCAGCCAGGCCCAGAACTGGCAGGAAAAAAAAAAGTGGTGGCACTTTCAAGAAAGATAAGATTTCACAAAAATATATATTCTGCAAGCATAGGTACAGAATCAGTTACAAACTCTCTCTGTCTCTCTGGAAAGTTGAACCTCCTATAATAAGACATCCTTAGTATTTTGCTGATGAGAATAATCCACTGCAATGACTTCTGATTTTCTCTATCACAAAATATGCCCTTTACCACGGTTTTTTAATACCACTCCCCTTTTGAAAAGTTTTGTCTATAAAAGCAGCCTATATTTTAAAGTAATCATTCTTTCAATAGCTTTGTATCTGATGGGGTAATCACTTAGAGCTCATGAATTTATGTAATTCAGGTTCAAGGGGATAAATGTGGTATTTTAGATGCTTGATCAATCCCTGTCTTTAGTAAATGGATGATTTCAACAGGGCCCAGGAAGGCTTAAAATGCACAAAGAAATGTGGTTTATCAAATTACTAAATTAGTAATTATACTAAAGTACTGCTGCTATTCAAATTCTTCCGTCTTACTATAAGACTCAATCCATCTTGAAATAACCATGTGCTGATTGACTCAACAAAACACATCAGGAAAAGCCAAACAAAGAACACGTATGGTAGACTAGATGTAGGTAAGACTACTTGACTCAGTCTTTAGCCGGAAATGTATTAAACCAGTTCAGAAATATAATGGGCTGCCGAGTTCGCTTCCATTACATAGACCAGGATTCTACCACATCCCCCAGAGAGCACTATTCTGACTGCTCCTCTAAGTAATCCAATGGCTGCTGACATTTGCAAATACTGTGGTGACTGGAAAATTACTTTGAAACCTGGCCATATTTTACACAAAATAAGATTGCATGAAGACATTCCCTTTCCTTCTGAATACACACTTCATACAAAACTGTATTAGTCACAGTGTCTATAGATTTATATCTCTACCTGTATCAAGAACCTTCTCTAAAACTCTGGGTGATACAGTGCAGAATTTTTACCGGCTGTTGATCAATCATAATCAACTTTGTAGGCAGTTAAATCTCAATACTGAATATTTGACCAGAACCATGAAAATTTATTTTTTGTTAAATGAGGTATGTTTATATGTTTGACATGGTTTTTGGTAGGTTCTAATTCTTACAAGTATTAACATATGTTTTACTTGAAGCTTTAAAAAAGTCTAGCACCACAAAAGTTTGGCATTTGGACAGGCATTTGGATTGGGGGTGGGGTGGGGAGGGGGATTTCTGCTTTGTAAGCAACACGGCCTCCTTTGGAAGAACACCAGTCCTCTCCTGGCAAACAACTCCCTCTTGCCTGGCTCCTGAGGACCAGAAGCCATTCCCTAAGCCCCAGAGGCCAGCGGAGGATGATTAACCTGCAGTTTACATGACAGGAGTCTGACTTGCAGAAAGATCCAGTGATTTACTCACCATCCTGTAAAGAAATCTAATGGAAACAAGGAAGACAGTCCCATCTTAATTTGCAGTCCTCAGCTTCTGCTCCGCTTCCTAAGGGGGTTGTACTGTACATGCGGACACTAACTAAGATTCACTATTTATGGCAAGCTACAGGAGAGACTTCCAGCCACAGAGGAGGAAGGTTATGGAGTGTGACCCTGACACCTGACAGCTTTCCCTGCCAAAGGAGGCAGAGCCAGGATGAGCTGCTGCCTTCGATTCACTGCTTTTTTGGGAGCCATATTTTTTTTTATGGGAACTGGCAGGCTCTTGGCTCATCGTTAGGCACTTTATGATCATCCTGCTGAAAATCTCACAAATCCTCAACACTGTGGGGAAATGGTGGGAAGGAAAGGTGTGTGTGCGTGCGTGCGTGTGTGTGTGTGTGTCTGTCTGTCTGTCTGTTGGAATGCCCATGAACATAACAAGTGAATGAAAGAAGTGA